GCCGCCTGCCAGAACGGCGGCGGCGTCGCGCGCAGGCACGCGCGGCTCGCGCGCCGGCTTGGAGGACTTCTGCGAACAGCGCGTCCCCGAGTGGGGCAGGCAGCCGCCAGGCTGGGAGACTGAGCGCGCGGCGCTCGACTTAGAGTACCAGGACGACGACGGGCGGCGCGGACTCGACGCCACGGTCCAGCACCCGGACGCGGGAACACAGGCCGAAGTCTGCGTGGCAGCTCGCCAGGATGGCGAGGCCAGCAGTAGGGGAGAACGCGACAAACACTCGCGCTACCCAGGCGAACGCCTGGTCCCCTTCGTCCTGGAGATCGGGGGGAGACTGGGCGCAGAGGCCCGCTTCTGGCTGAAGGCCGAAGTGAACTTTCAGTGAACCGGCAGGACGAGCAGGACCAGCAGCGCGAGCTGGCCCGCGCCCATCGGGTGCTCAGCTGCGGGCTGCAGAGCGAACTCGCGCGCCAGCTGCGTTCCTCGGCGGGCCTCCGCTGAGGCGCCAGCGGCGCGCAGCGGCGCAGGAGACGACGTCCCCGCGCGCCGCCGCGGGCTTGCGCTGGCGCGCCTTGAGGGCTTCTGGCGACAACGCCCGAGGCCGCCGCGCTGCTGCCGCGACGCCAGCCGCAACGGCGCCAGAAGCTGCAGCGCAGGCGGCGAGCCGGCACGGGCCCCTCGCCGCTGGGCTGGCGAGCAGGTTCGGGGCGGCGCGGGCTTCGCGACGGCCGCTGGCCAGGGCGCGCGCTGCCGGGCGGCGCAGCGCAGTGCGCGGCGGGCCTGCCTGGCGGCGCAGTGCTGCGCGACGGGGCGCGGCGGGCCTTCCGCCCTGCAGCCTCGCTCTTCCCTTCCTCTTCTCCTTTTTTTTCGGCCCTGGACAGCGGCGCGTTCCTCCGCGTCATGGCCCTCGTCCCGCAGGCGCGGCTGGGGCGCGCCCTCAAGGCGTGGCTGGGGGGGCGCCCCAACGACGTGGGAGCCCGAGAGAGTCTGTCTGTCTGTCTGTCTGTCTGTCTGTCTGTCTGTCTGTCTGTCTGTCTGTCTGTCTGTCTGTCTGTCTGTCTGTCTGTCTGTCTGTCTGTCTGTCTGTCTGTCTGTCTGTCTGTCTGTCTGTCTGTCTGTCTGTCTGTCTGTCTGTCTGTCTGTCTGTCTGTCTGTCTGTCTGTCTGTCTGTCTGTCTGTCTGTCTGTCTGTCTGTCTCTCTCTCTTTCTCTTTTCTCTTTTTTTCTTTTCTCTTTTCTCTTTTCTCTTTTCCCTTTTCTCTTTTCATGTTTTATCTTTTCTTCTCTTTCTACCTTTCTTCCGTTTCCAGCGGGAAGGAGGAGGAAGAGGGGGAGGAGGAGGAGGAGGAGGAGGAGGAGGAGGAGGAGGAGGAAGGGGAGGAGGAGGAGGAGGAGGAGGAGGAGGAGGAGGAGGAGGAGGGGGACCAGCTTGACCCCAAGGCACACCAACGAGATTGCAATATAACTTTCTTCCAAGCTCCCTCTGCACAGGCCCCTGCACGGATTCGCTCTCACTGAGGGAATTGCCCCGTTGGAAGACAGTCGTTTGAAAACCTAGAATGCGCCATTCCTGTGGTTCCAACACCACGAATCAAAACGACGGTTGCGCCTTGGCATTTCGACATCTTGCTAAAACACCGTTTCTGGATTGTGAACGCTCGGAATCCTTGAAACTGCTGCGAGCTCTTAAGACGAATGTGGGCGGCCCTAGGGCGAGAGCCACATTTCGAAAAGGACCCGCCCTCCATCCGTGAAGCTCTTGCAAGATTCAAACTTCAGGATCACGAATTGTGAGGACGCCTCAGGCGAAACGCCCGGCCCGCCCTCTCGACTGGCTTCCGGGTGCGTCAGGAAGGAATTATTCACAACGAGAAGGGATGGAGGAGGAGGAGGAGGAGGAGGGAGAGGAGGAGGTGGAGGAGGAGGAGGAGGATCCTGTTCGGGAAACGTGCGCTGACTTGTTACGTCGTCTTGGGTCTCCGTGGGGCCCTGCTGGCCGCCAATGTAACAAGAGCGATGAAAGAGCGATCCCGGGGGATGTCCAAGCGGGGGGTATCTCCCAGCGGTGCAGGGCCCGTTATCCCTTCTGGAGGAGGAGGAGGAGGAGGAGGGGGAGGAGGGGCATGGCCACAGCCGTGATGCTTGCTGACATATCTCAGGAGTTGTGAACAGTTCACACACATAAACGTCGACAATCGTCGACCCAAAGGACATATGGGCAGTGGAGAGGAATACCACCATCCAGACCATATGGAAGATAACCTGGAATCTTGGGATTCGTGTCTATTCATTTGTGTGCCCCTGGGTCTCTTTGACCTTTCCCCTTCATATGTCAGGAGCGTGAGCTGAGCGTGTCGTTCCTCTCCACACACAGGCCCTGCTGCTCAGGGGCTGCTTTCGCTTGGCCCGTGTGGTAGCGGCTGGCCCCTCGCCGCGCCGCGCCGCCGCTGCCGCTGGCGCGCCCGGCCGCAGGCACGTCGTGCGACGTGCCCGCGCTGATCACCGCCGGGATCCCAGAAGATCCTCCATCTCCTTCCCTCCGCCTCCTCCTCCTCCTCCTCCTCCTCCTCCTCCTCTTCCTCCTCCTCGTCTTCCTCGTACTCCGCGTCCTCCTTCTCCTCCTCGTCCTCCGCGTCCTCCGCGTCCTCCTGCTCCTCTTCTGTCCGTGGCCATCTTGGCTCAAGCCGCTCAAGCAGCGAGCGACAACTCAAGCTGGCTCGCTATGTCCATCCTGCTTTCGGTTGTTGGCTTTGCTCGTCGTGCTTGAGAGGGGCCCTTCGCAATGGGGCGCCCTACTGCAGCGGAGCGCAAGCTACGCCGTGCCTGGGCGCGCGTATCGACGGACGGCGATCATCAATGTGTCGGGCGTGGTGGACCGCCTGAACGGGCTGCTGTCGGCGGCTGAGGCGGCCCTGGATGCGGTCGTCGGTCCCGCGCTGTTGGTGATGCTTCGTGATGTGCCGCCGACCGACATGACTGGAGAGGCTGCGGCGGAACGTCGCCGTCCACGCTGATGCTCCGGGCGTCGATGTTGCCGCGGCGGACGTTGCTGCGCTCAGCCATGCCCAGGGTAGGCCTCGCTTCGAAGCTTGCCGGGCCGCCGTCCTTTGCTCGGTCGCCTAGGTGTTCCTGCCTCGCGACTTGTTCGGCTCTGCGTCGGCGATGAGGAGCTCAATAACCAGTTCGACGCGGGGTTGGCCACGGTGCCGTCGTGCTGGCCTTGGGAGGTCTGCCAGCCCCCGTGGTTGGTGCACGACGTCTCCTCGGACTTCGTGGGGAAAGCCTCGCCTCCGCTCCTGGAGGAGGCTGGTGTCAAGGGGCCTCCGTGTGCGTGAATGTGGGCTCCACTGTTGCATGGGTGCCAGAGGGCGCCTCCCCCGAGGACGCGGACGCTGACGAATCCGCCGCTTTCGACGCCGTGGATAAGGGGGTACATCTTTTCGACGAGCACTTCCCCGTGCAGGAGTCGGACAACTTCGCGTTCGCCGCCCTGTCGTCCTCAGTCTTCTGTGATCTGGGCGAGCATTCTTCGGGATCCTGGAAGCGTGGCGGGCGGCCTCCGCATGAGCAGCGGGCGCCGTCGCCTCCTCGAGTGGTAGTGTTCAAGTTCTCGTAGGAGCGGCTGTGGTTCTCATCTGTCAAGCCACCAAACCCGAACGCAGATTGCCATCAACAGTGATCCTCGTTTTCGTAAGTGACTGGCTCGTGGTCTACCTGGCGGGCTCTGGTTTTTGTTTGATGTATCTATCGCCCAGTGCGTGTTGTGCAACTTCAACCTCGCGGTCGTCATGGTCTTCGAGGGCGTGGTGGTGGATTGAGAGAGCAGCGTCGCGGCATAAACAATCCCCCTCTCCTCCTCTCGTCCTCGCCCTTCTGCTCCTGTTCCCTTCTCCCTCCTCCCTTTTTCCTCCCTCTTCCCTTCCGTCTTCCTCATGAGGGAGAGGGAAGGTGGAGGGGGCGACGGAGTGTAAATGATGGTCTGGAGGCAGAGAAAGAAGAACCACACTCAACCCAATATGTGTAGACGATGCTGACGCCCTCCCGTGCCCAGTCCCTTTCGCATAAGTCCCTGTATCATGCATGTTTTGTGCATCCCATAAGTCCCAGTTATCCTCCCGTGTGACTGGATTGCATCCTACCCGCGAGCGATCAGTTTTTTTGCTTTTGGGGAAGAACTATCACGCGGCCGCCTTCAATCCGTGTGGCTGTTGCGAAATCTTCAGACACATGTACTCGGCTCTTCGGGGGTCGTCTCATTTTGCACACGGACCGTTCTCCGTCCGTTCAGCTAGTCCATTGGTTCAGGATGTCTGTTTTTTGTTCCCAACCATCCCGTGGTGTTGGGTCCTCGTTTTAAAGAGACAGCGCCCAGCGTCCTCCCTCATCCTCCTTCCCCCATCCCTCCTCCTCGATCTCACCCGTCATCATCATCATCATCATCATCATCATCATCATCATCATCATCATCATCATCATCATCATCATCATCATCATCATCAGCATCATCATCATCATCATCATCATCTTTATCATCATCATCATCACCATCACCATCACCATCACCATCTCCATCATCATCATCATCATCATCATCATCATCATCATCATCATCATCATCATCACCATCTCATCATCCTTATCCTCATCCTCATCCTCATCCTCATCCTCATCATAGTCATCATCATCGCCGCCATCAGCACCATCACCTCTCTCACGTTTCGTGGCCCCACAAGGGGGCTCCACCGAAGGCCCCAGTGCTGCTGGCCGCATGCGTCCCGCACACCCAATTCGGCGCACCCCTCACACGTTTCGTGGCCCCAACAGGGAGCTCCACCGAAGGCCCCAGTGCTGCCGTCCGCATGCGTCCCGCACACCGAATTCGGCACACCCCTCACACGTTTCGTGGCCCCATAGGGAGCTCCACCCGAGGCCCCCAGTGCTGCCGGCCGCATGGGTCCCGCACACCCGTTTCGGCACACCCCTCACACGTTTCGTGGCCCCATAGGGAGCTCCACCGAAGGCCCCAGTGCTTCCGGCCGCATGCGTCCCGCGCACCCACTTCGGCACATGCCTTACCACGCTTCGTGGCCCCATAGGGAGCTCCACCGAAGGCCCCAGTGCTGCCGGCCGCATGCGTCCCGCGCACCCACTTCGGCACACCCCTCACACGTTTCGTGGCCCAATAGGGAGCTCCACCGAAGGCCCCAGTGGCGCCGCCTGCATGCGTCCCGCACACCCAATTCGGCACACCCCTCACACGTTTCGTGGCCCCATCGGGAGCTCCACCGAAGGCCCCAGTGCCGCCGCCCGCATGCGTCCCGCTTCCTCAACTCGGCCACCGAAGGCCCCAGTACTGCCGCCCGCATGCGTCCCGCACACCCATTTCGGCACATGCCTCACGCGTTTCGTGGCCCCATAGGGAGCTGCATCGAAGGCCCCAGTGCCGCCGCCCGCATGCGTCCCGCACACCCAATTCGGCACACCCCTCACACGTTTCGTGGCCCCATAGGGAGCTGGTGGTCCCGACAGCTTCCCTAGGGCTGATTTCTTCGTCGTCGTCGTCGTCCGTCGTCGACGTCCGACCTGCGCGCGTCGCGGGGGCTCCGCGTAGCGCGGCGCCCGCAGCCTTGAACTTTGGAGTGCGCGGGCAAAGAGGAAGGAAAATAAGGGGAGGAAGCGGGCGCTATCCTCGTGTGGGGCGTGCCGACATGGGCGGAGGCTACGCTCAGTGTCACGAGTTCTCAGAGCCAGGCAGACCCAAACCATTCACAGTTTATGCATTTACATTGGGCGACTCCATGCTCGCAGTCATGCAAATAGAATCCATCGCGCGCATATTCATTCAGAGTCAGACCCACTCGCGCTTAGATTCGCCCGCGCTCAAGCTTTCATACTCAAGCCTATCGTTTTCGTTCGTGTTGTGTACCCTATTACACAAGTCGGCACACCCCTCATACGGTTCGTGGCCCCATAGGGAGCGCCACCGAATAATATCTTCACAATTGCGGTATTCACAACTGCGTATGGTTGGGTCCTTCGCCAGGCCAATTCCCAACCGTCCTGTGGTGTTGGGTCCTCGTTTTGACGAGACAGCGCCCCGCGTCCTCCCTCCTCCTCGTCCTCCCCTCCTTCTTCCTCCTCTCTTCTCCACCTCCTCTCTGCGTTTCGCATACCCAGTACTGCGTTTCGTGGCACCATAGGGAGCCCCGCCGAAGGCCCCAGTGCTGCCGGCCGCATGCGTCCCGCACACCAATACAGCGTTTCGTGGCCCTCTTCCCCGTGCTCCCTGCGTTTCACCCACCCAGTACACCGTTTCGTGGCCCCACAGGGAACCCCACCGAAGATCCCAGTGCTGCCGTCCGCATGCGTACCGCACACCCAGTACAGCGTTTCGTGGCCCTTCTCCCTTTTTTTCCTTGCATTTCACCCACCCAGTACAGCGTTTCGTGGCCCCATAGGGATCCCCGCCGAAGGTCCCAGTGCTGCCGTCCGCATGTCCCGCACACCCCTCACACGTTTCGTGGCCCCATATGGAACAACCGAAGGCCCCAGTGCTGCCGTCCGCATGCGTCCCCCCCACCCAGTACAGCGTCTCGTGGCCCCCATCCCCTTGTTCACCGCGTTTCACCCACCCAGTACATCGTTTCGTGGCCCCACAGGGAACCCCACCGAAGGTCCCACTGCTGCCGCCCGTATGCGTCCCGCACACCCAGTACAGCGTTTCGTGGCCGCACAGGAAGCTCCTCCCTGCGTTTCACCGACCCATTACAATGTTTCGTGGCCCCATAGGGGGCCCCACCGAAGGTCTCAGTGCTGCCGCCTGCATGCGTCCCGCACCCCCAGTACAGCGTTTCGTGGCCCCACAGGAAGCTTCACCGAAGCGCCCAGTGGGACCGTCCGCGCGCGTCCCGAACATCTAATTTGGCATTTTCGCAGGCCCAGTACAGCGTCTCGTGGCCCCATAGGGAACTCCACCGAAGGCCCCATTGCCGCCGTCCGCATGCGTCCCGAAAACACAATGTGGCATTTTTACCCACCCAGTACAGCGCTTCGTGGCCCCATAGGGAACCCCACCGACGGCCCCAGTGGGGTTGTCCGCAAGCGTCCCGAAGCACCCAATGTGGCATTTTACTCACCCAGTACAGCGTTTCGTGGCCCTATAGGGGGCTCCACCGAATGCTTCGGTGCCACCGTCCGCATGCGTCCCCGAAACCCAATGTGGCATTTTCACCCGCCCAGTACAGCGTTTTGTGGTTCCATTGGGAACCCCACCGAGGCGCCCAGTGGGACCGTCCGCTTGCGTCCCGGAAGCTTAACTTGGTATTTCCCAACCCTCCTTGGTTGGGCATTCGTTTTGAATGAAGCAGTGTGGTCTCCACTTCCTCCTTTCCTCCCTCCTCCCTCCCGTCCCGTCTCCCTCTTGCCTCCTCCTGTCTTGCCTGCCGGGGGCTGCGAATCTGTGAAACTGTCGCCACTTTCGAGGCCTGCTGGAGGGCCCAGCAAA